CAGCTCCCCCTGCTTGTGTTCCCTCTCTCGCTGTGTCTCTCTCTGTCAAATAAATAAATAAAATCTTTAAAAAAAAAAAAAAAGGTAACTATTCAGATTGTTGATGTGTTTGGATATACATTTGAACTGACAGAGCCAGATGAAGTTATGTTCCCCAAAACAAAATTATATCACCAGGGATTATCTTCTCCCTGTTGTTCCATATGCCTTCATGTCTTGTTTTCTCCCATAGATTTTCCTTTGAAATGGATACATATTAAGTGCTGTTACCTTCATTTTATTAATAAGGAAACTTGAGACAGGGCATGGCCAGGTGACATGCTCAGGTTACCACCTAGCTAGGAATATAGCCAGTATGGAAGTCTGGTCTCCTCTCTCACTACCTCTGGTACTTCCCACTTGCCATGCTTTTCCCCACAGCCTGTGCCCATCCTACAATATCTGTGAAGATTGTGAATCCGGGCCATATGCCCATGACTCCAACCACATCCTGCTGAAGTTGCGGAGACCTGTGGTGGGTTCTTCTGAAGCGTTCTCTCATCCGAGGTTCCCTGCCCCTCGTCTCCCTGCTGCTCTGGAACAAGCCAGGTAAAACCATAAGTACACGGGAGGCTTGTTCTCGGATGGGCATCTTGGTTGTGGTGATGGGGCATGAATCACAGAACTGCAGTCTCCTTAGTTCTTGGGCATTTCCAGTTGATGTGTGACAATGGGGACGATGAGCCGAAGCTAATGAGACAGAAATGAGAACTGTAGAAAGAAAGTTAAGCTAGAAGCTGGCACTGATGGAGGCTACGAGTGGCTTAAAATAGCTTCAAGATTTGTTTATGAGGTTTGTTTTTTAAGACTTTTCATTTGTTACCTCACAGGCTCCAGAAACAGGTCGACAAGAATTTTCTTAAAGCAGAAAAGCAAAGGTTGCGAGCTGAGAAGAAGCAGCGAAAGGCAGAGGTCAAGGAACTCAAAAAGCAGCTGAAACTCCACAGGAAGATTCATCTGTGGAGCTCCATCCATGGACTCCAGAGCCCCAGGTCCCCTTTGGGCCGGCCCGAGAGCCTGCTGCAATCGAATACCCTGATGTAAGCCCGGGGCCAGGACGGGCACCAAGGCTGGAGGTTCAGCCTTCCAAAATTGGAACTTCAGCCAGGTTTTCTCTTACTTATCGGCAGTTCCTAACACCCAAACTCTTAAAAATTCCCATGCTAGGGGCGCCTGGGTGGCTCAGTCAAGTTAAGCATCCAACTTTGGCTCAGGTCATGATCTCAGGGTGTTGAGATCAAGCCCCGCGTCAGTCCTCCAAACTCAGTGGGGAGTTTGCTGAAGTTTCTCTCTCCCTCTCTGCATACTCCCTAGCATGCACGCGAGCTCGCTCTCTCACTCAAATAAATAAATCTTAAAAAAAATTAAAACTTCCCATTCTCTGATCCTAGCATTCGTAAAGGGTGGTTTGGTGGTCATTGTTGACTCTTAGAGCAGCCCGTAAGGTTCCAAACTGGATGGTATGACCTCTCTTCAGTGGAGGCAGTTGGGATTTGAAGAGCCTGACTCTCCAGTTCTTTTATTTATGGATGCTTATCCTCACCAGAGCTTTTCAGTTCAGGAGTAAGATTTGTCTTGGTGGTGTTTATTGTTGTGTTGTTTAAGATTTTATTTTCACTAACCTTTACACCCAACGTGGGGCTCAAACTTAACAACCCAGAGATCAAGAGTCGCATGCTCTACAAAATGAGCCAGCCAGGTGCCCCAAATCTGTCTTTCTATTTTTATTTATTTATTTATTAAGATTTATTTATTTATGGGGCACCTGAGTGGCTCAGTCAGTTAAGCATCTGACTTGAGCTCAGGTCATGATCTTGGGGTACTAGGATTGAGCCCCATGTCGGGCTTTGTGTTAAGCAAGGTGTCTGCTTCTCCCTCTCCATTTGCCTCCTTCCCCCACCTGCTTGTGTGCACTCGCACACTCTTTCTCTCTCTATCTCAAATAAACAAATAAAATCAATTACTTTTTTGAGAGAGTGAGAGTGTGGGAGGAGGGGTGGCGGGAGAGAATCTCCAGCAGACTCCCCATGGAGCATGGAGCTCAACACGGGGCTCAATCCCACAACCCCGAGATGACCCAAGCTGAAATCGAGACTTGGATGCCCAACCAACTGAACCACCCAGGTGCTCCTCTGTCTTGTTTTTTCAAAAATTTTATTAGTATTATTATTTTTAAAGGTTTTATAAGTAATCTGTACCCCCACGTCGGGCTCAAACCTACAACTCCTAGATCAAGAGTTGCATGCTCCACTGACTGAGCCAGCCAGGCATCTTCATTAGTATTATTTTTAAGGCAAATGCATCAGTACATTGTGTCACTCTCAGCCTCTTGAACCACAGTGTTAGATATTCAGAAGCCATCATACCCAACATAAGTGACTGTCTGAATTTCTGTTCAGGCTTCCTTTGCAGCCCTGTGCCCCGGTTATGCCGACCCTCAGTGCAGCATTTGTTGATGAGAATTTGCCTGATGGGACTCACCTTCAACCAGGAACCAAGTTTATCAAACACTGGAGGATGAAAAATACCGGAAATGTCAAATGGAGTGGAGACACAAAGGTATTTTCTCCCCCCACGGAATGAAGATGACGTGATTTGAAGTGACAGAAAGCTGACAAGCTTTCTTTCTCTTATCCTTGTTGTTTTCAGCTCAAGTTCATGTGGGGAAACCTAACTTTGGCTTCTACAGAAAAGAAGGATGTTTTGGTTCCCTGCCTGAAGGCCGGCCATGTGGGGGTTGTGTCTGTGGAGTTCATCGCACCAGCCTTGGAGGGAACGTACACTTCCCATTGGCGTCTTTCTCACAAAGGCCAGCAGTTTGGGCCTCGGATCTGGTGCAGTATCATTGTGGATCCTTTCCCCTCTACAGAGAGCCCTGAGAACATTGAAAAGGGCATGATTCGCTCAAGCAAAGCTAATGAGCTCACCTGCCAGCAAGAGGTGAGCATTGGAAGGGGAGACTAACGCTACAACAGCCCACTCACAGCTGGTCGTTCCTCCAGAAATCAGGAAAGGGTAGCTCCTCCCCCTAACAGGCCAGTATGCTTCCATTGGGCCCATTCCTTGGGCTTTGTTGGCATGTCCTTAGGATCTTGGTGCAGGCATTCCTCAATGCTTTTGTATCTCTTTGTAATGAAGTTTGGCCAGCCTCTGCTGCACGTGGGAAGACGGAACTGCCTGGCCTGTTGAGCGGCCGGACTGATGGCTTTGCTCCTTAGCACTCCTCTCTCCCGAACATCCCATGCGTGTGTTCCCTAAATACTAAGGAAGTCTTGCCCTTGTTTTTAGTTGGTGCAGTTTTTTTAAGCAACTTCCCTTTATTACTGGGGCACTTTTTTCTTTTTCTTTCTACCCGCACCCAGGCGGTGGAGCACTGTTTTTTAGAGCATTTTACTGCTTAGATTTAGTTAACCAAAGTTAACATCCTGCTTTTGACAGTTGTTACTATGGTTAATCTAACTCCTCATTAAAGGAAGCTAGGTGAAGGGGATAGTAAGTGAACAGACTGTATTATTTTTGCAACTTTTCCGTAAGTCTAAGATGATCTCGAAACAAGATGCAGCAGTGTTTTGGTTTTTAGGGAGGCAGCTATCAGTTTTCCTTTTGAGTTCAGTTGAGGGCCTAAAATTTGTCCCAATGGTTTGTCTGTATAGGAAACTTTTCTTCTGGCTAAAGAAGAAATTCAGCTTGATGAAGCGACTGAGCAGACCAAAGGAACAGGAACCTGCATCACACAGAAGACAAAAAATGTTGCCAGCGAGAGGGAGCTTTATATCCCATCCGTGGACCTTCTGACTGCCCAGGTGGAAGATTGAGCACTTTGGGGGGCAAGGGACAGAAGGCAGTGGAGGAAGAGTCCTTACCCTTGTTGAGAAGGTGGTATAGCGACAGGCGGTGCTCAGTGAGTTAGAGATCTGCCCACTTGGATCGAGTCAGATGCATTGAGTGGCAGGGGGATCGCCTGTGGAAGCAGGCCTCTAAATGTTTCTCCTGAATCAGGAACTCAATCTTGGGCTTCCCCACAGCTTCCCTTTAGTTGCCTCTGCGTTTCTGCTTTTCGGGTTCACTTTCACCCCCACTGCGTTTTCTCTCTTTCCTGCCACTTGGTTATTTGGACATCTAGTTCCCACTTCATTCATCTTGATTTCACTTGACTGAGGTGTGAGGCATGAATTTGAACAGAGTCCAGGAAGGTGTGGAGCTCAATGGCCTACAAGGCCCCTCAGACAAAACCTGGCTCCAACATCCACTGCAAGTAGCCTAATGTTGCCCTTTTTGTCCTCAGGACCTGCTGTCCTTTGAGCTGTTGGATATAAACATTGTCCAAGAATTGGAGAGAGTGCCCCACAATACTCCCGTGGGTAAGAATGTCATTCAACCCATGTTGTTTATTTTATTAACAGATGCAAAAGTGCTACATCGTAGACCCTGGTAGTGAGAATCTTATTCCGAGGAAATACATGGCAAGGATTTCTCCTACAGCGTGACATTAAAACTGCACCCATGGGTCCATTTTCCTCCTTTTCCCTGTTGTCTGTCAGAGTCAGCAATACATGTTTGTGCAAGGCTTCTCCACCATAAAGGGACCCTTGAGGCACCTGGCTGGCTCATTCAGTGGAACGTATGGCTCTTGGTCTTGGGTTTGTGAGTTCAAGCCTCATGTTGGGTGTAGGGATTACTTAAAATCTTTGGGGGGCGGGTCTTCATTTTTCTCTAAATGTTATGTCCTTTTATTCCTTTACATTCCTGGTTCTGTGTCTTGGCCATGGTTTCTCAGGCCAGACGACTGTGACCCTTCTTGCATTCATTGATCTGAAATACTTCCACACCTAATGGTCTGGAGAAATTCTTTACAACAGACCTTGAAGCATACCTAGATTTATTTCAGCCCTGCAGGAGGCAAGAAGCCTGTGAGCTGTTGCTTCTAGACACCATTAATGATGTGTTGCTTTTTTTTTTTTTTTTTTTGGTTGATGGTTCTTCTGTCTTCATTCTCCAGATATGACTCCCTGCATGTCTCCTCTGCCGCATGACAATCCTTTAATAGAGAAGCCAGGCTTGGGGCAGATACAGGAAGAGAGCGAAGGGGCGGGATTTAAAGTGCTTCCCGGTAAGGGGTTAAATATTTGTCAAGTGTATGCATTGTCCCCTGCCGTATTACACCATTTTCACACAAACTCCCTCCTACACTTACCTTAGCATCTCAGTGGGTTTTCTGTAGCATCTCATTTTGTCTTTCAGATCCCACAGTGTCAGTGAAGAGGAAGGCTCCGAACATTGCCTCAGTGGAGGAAGCAGAAGATGACCTGAGTGGGACCCAATTCGTGTGTGAGACTGTAATCCGATCCCTTACCTTGGATGCTGCCCCGGATCACAACCCACCTTGCAGACAGAAGTCCCTGCACAGTGAGTGTCCCCGAGTTCCCCCGGCTAGCAGGGCACTGATTGAATTGTGACTGCCCAACCTGAATAGGAAGAAGGGCTCTTCGTCACTGAGAGTGGCGGTTGGGTGGTCTTTGTTAGAATTTGGATCATGGTGGTTTCTGTAAACTCCACACACTGTACCTGACCGTTGTAATTATAGCCTCAGAAGCAAAGCAGCCACCATGTCCCAGCTTCACCCTTTCTCAGGGGCAGAACTATAGCAGCTGCTTTCTGCTGCCTGAATTCTGCACTGAGGAGTGTTCCTGTAAGTTGACTGAGTTCTTCAGCAGAGACCTGCACTGGCAGCTGTAGTTGTGTCCTTTCTCCAAGGACACAGTCCAGGAAACAGTGGGCAGAAGCATGAATACCAAACTAAGTTTCCCAAGGTTAAATTCTGCTGTAATTAATTTCCTTTATAACAGAAACTTCTAGGTGTTGGATAGGTAGAGACCATACGATGTATTTCAAGAACTATCCAAAACTTCAAATTCTAGTGCATCAAAATAATATGGGAAAATTTCTGGTGCTTATTATAATAAAATTTGACCTCTACTTCTACTTATTTTTTTTAAAGATTTTATTTATTTGTCAGGGAGAGAGAGAGCGTGCACAAGCAGGGGGAGCGGCAGGCAGAGGCAGAAGCAGGCTACCCACTGAGCAGGGAGCCCAGTGTGGGACTCGATCCCAGAACCCTGGGATCATGACCTGAGCCCAAGGCAGACGCCTAATAGACTGAGCCACCCAGGCGTCCCAAGACCTATACTTTTAAATACGATTTGTCTCACTTCTGTTTAAAATACACACACTCATTTCCCCCTCCCCCCCAGACTTATGTACAAATGCATAACAAAAAATGTTTACAGTAGTTATGTCTGATAGGATTATAGGTATCTCTTTTTCCCTCATCCTTGTTTTGCTGATTTTCTGCCATGACTATCCCTTACCTAGCAAAGAAAGGGAGGAAAGTAGGCATACAGTCCTGCAGTACTCACCACCTAATGTTTTCTCTTGTTATAGCACCCTTAGCTAATATATCCGTTTTGATTAGTCTTTAAGATTCATGGTGCTTCTCAGAAGCCTTGGTGTTTCTCTGTACCTCGTGAGCTTCAGTTCTTTCTGGCTTTGCCTAGGCTTCAGACTTAGAATGTGGCCATTAGTGGTTCACGGGCAGCCTTGCCCTCTGGCCATCCCCCTCCTCTGGCTTTCATGATTGTAGCTCGTGACCCACAAGGCTTTATCAGGTAAGGGTAGCACTAGGAGTTGCTTTTGGTTTATAGCTTAAAATGGATTGCTTTCGTCCTTTAGTGAAATTTGCCTCCCCTGAAGAGGGACCACTTGGAGATGAGCGGGAGGTGGTTGTCCATAGCGCCAAAGAAGCTGTTGTGGAGGAGGAAGAGGAAGAGCAGGATGAACTCAGAGATGAAGTTCAGAGTCAGTCCTCTACTTCTTCAGAGGATTACATCATCATCCTGCCTGAGTGCTTTGATACCAGTCGCCCCCTGGGCGACTCCATGTACAGCTCTGCACTCTCACAGCCAGGCCTGGAGCGAGGGGCTGAAGGCGAACCTGGGGTTGAGGCTGGGGAGAGACTCACTGGAGGGGAGAACCAGCTGCAGGAGCAGAGCATCAGCGACATCCTCATGACCTCACAGACTCTGGACACAGTACCCCTCATCCCAGAGGTGGTGGGGCCTCCACCACAGCTGTCCAGGTACTATCCACACCCCCCTCAGCTGGGCTGTTCTTCACAGGTGGCATAGGGAGAAAACGACTCCCTCTCTCTTTTTTTTTTTTTTTTTTGGTCAGCATGGGAAGAGACTTTTTCCCATAGGAAAGTCTGAATTTAGATGAATAAAAGTTGTGTTTCCTTCCCCACTTTATTGACTCATGGGTAAAGGCAGCAAAACTCATTCTTAATGTCAACCCAAAGTATAATAGGAAGTTTAAACTGTTATGAAAAAAATGTATTCTAAAACCAGAGAGCAATTATTTTTCATTATCTCCTGATCTGTGTGTGTCATTGTTCTGTCATGGTATGGCAGATGGTGGAGCCTGGACTAGGATTTAAACCACTCTCTCAGGGAGCTAGACATTTCCCTTAACTAGTACCACTTAATGGAGCAGGGAGCAACCCAACTCAAGCCGGTCTCTCTAGCTTGACCGTAGCTAAAGAGGAAAACCAGAAGTAGAATGAGCCCTTCCCACCTGATCCCTACATTCAAACGTGAGATCTGGAGCAGAAAAGTGAAGCCTTTGTAGAGAATCTGCCACAGCTGTGCCCTGTGTACTGTTTCTCCAGCGTCCCCATAGGTGCCTTTTCAGCTGACTTTTGATATTGTGTCTTTCTGAAAGGAGCCCTCCTTGTGCACAGCCAGATGGTTCCCCAGGAGTGGATTTACCAGTTACCGTACCAGAAGTTCCTTCAGTCCCCGATCAGATCAGAGGAGGTAACGACCAGCCTGAGCTTGATGTCTTTTTCTGTGCTCCTTTCTAACGAAACCAAGCACAAATAGGCACTCTGTCTTTGTGATTCTTGGCATTATTTGGAAACCTGCCCTTGCATTTTTTCTGTGGCCCTCCCTCACATTCTTTTCTGTCCTCTAGGTTCATATTTATTAAATGAGACCTCACAGAGGTGGGCATTGTGCTGCAGTGGAAAGAACACAGGCTTTGGAGCTAGACCAGTCTAGGTTCCAGGCCTGGCTTCCCCTTTCCTCACTGTGTGACCTTGAAGTGGTTCAGCACGGTCATAAAACCTGAGGGGCTGTTGTATCGAAAATAAGGAGAATAGCACCTTGAAGTTGTTAGTAGACCTTCAAAGTCACTTCCCACTCTTAATCAAAAAAACAAAACCTGAAAGTACTTAGAAACTAATAAATGGGTATGATAGGATTATAGGCTTTGTTTTTCTGATTAAATAAACAGTCACCTTGCATTGCATTCTGGACAGTTCCTCCTTATCACTTAAAAACCACCTGCAAAATTTCCCGAATATTTTAAATAAATAAATAAATAAATGCTGTGATCAGATTGCTGCTTGCCTCTCAAAACTCGCCTCACTATGAGTTAAACACTAGGCACTTGTGGATGCCGCATCTAACCAATAGCCCTTTTGCTTTTAGAGCCCAGAGGCTCATCAGGACTTGTAAACAGCAGACAGAAGAGCTATGACCACTCAAGGTAACTGGACCCTGTGCAGCCTCTTCCTTCAGAAGCAGGTGGATATCCTAGTACTGCTTCTGCTTACACAAGCTTCTCAAAGCTCATGTGCCACCTCCAGAGGACAAAGAAGGAGCACCATCATTCCTTCTTGTTCTTATTTCTCCTGAAGCTTGTGAGCAACACTGAACAGAGGGCTCCAGTTACATTTAAGAGTGTTCACATTCCAGGGATGTCTGCCTGGCTCAGTCGGTGGAGCGTGTGACTCTTGATCTTGGGGTTGTGAGCTCGAGCCCCACATTGGGTGTAGAGATCACTTAAAAAATAAAATCTTTAAAAAAAAAGTGTTCACATTCCAGACCAGTACTCTCAAATTCACCTCACCTTAGTACCAAAGAAGGCAGGAAGATCATCTTAGTAATGGTTACTTAGACACACCTGCATCTCTGTTCCCAATCATCTCAGATTAGTGGCAAGGTGCACTCCTCCCTTCAGTGCCCAGAAAATCACATTTCCTTTGGAAGTGTATCCTCTGAGATGATAATTAAGGAGACAGACTGCTGACACCCCTCTGTGCCCTTGACCCTGTAATTTTCAGCTGGGACAGAAGGCTGGTATACTAACCTGAGGGGTGTCTTCCTGCAGGCCTTATCTTGCAGCAGTAGATCTGGGGTCTACATCAAACCAAGCTTTGTAGCTATAAAACTAGTAGGAAAATGATCACATTCTCTTTTTACATCTGACTTCTTTTCTCAGGGAAATCCATTTTCTTTCAAGGATTAGAGCCCAGATTAGCTTGTAGGAAGATAATGGTTTGTGTTTTTTAGGAAGATAATTTGGTTTTCTTCCCCAGGCACCACCACCATGGGAGCAGCATTGCTGGAGGACTGGTAAAGGGGGCTTTGTCCGTTGCTGCTTCTGCATACAAGGCCTTGTTTGCTGGGCCACCAGTCACTGCCCAGGTCAGTGTATGTTTCATTTTCCTGTACCAAAGCCAAGTCACCGGTGAAAATGATGCTGCCTGTCTGGGTTGGAGAATAGTATGGCATTCTGCCACTTTCTAGCTGTAGGACTTTAGCCAAGTTATTTAAGGGAAGAAAGGAAAAAAAGCCTAGTGTTTGTTGAGGACCTGTTACGTGTGGGGAGCTCTTGCAAGTACGTGCTACAAGGTGAAGAAGACACCAGTCCCTGCCCAAAGAGAGTGGGACGCAAGTGAGGTAAACAGTACAGTATAAGATCCTGCACCAGTGTTCTCGGGTGGAACACCTCAGCCTGCTGTGGGCCCCTGCGCGGGGCCAGAGAAGGCTTCCTGGTAGGTGATGCCTGAACTGAGTCCTTAAGGACAAAATAAGTATGTGCCAGGAAAGAGAAACAGCATTGTGACAGAGACTAGCCAGTAAAAAGTTGGAAATGTGAGCCTGAAAGGTGAATTTGGGCTGGGAAGAGAAAGAAGAGAAAAGCCCAATTTATGTAGGTGGGGTGCTGTATTAAGTGGTTTGGGTGTTATTTTAAAGGGTAATTGGGGGGTTGAGGGGGAGGAGAGTGAATGGGTTTTAGGAAAATGATTAACATCAGATTTCTACCTAGTAAGATAATTCCACTATAGTGTGGAGGTTGGGGGAGCCCTAAAGAAATCATTTGAGAATCCATGTGAAGGTGGAAAAGAACTTGGGTAGAAGAGAAAGAGAAATGGCAGAACGATTAAGAGGCTGGAAAGAAGTCAAGGAGGAATCCCGAGTTTCTGGCTTTGGGCAATGGATAGTACCATTCATTAAGAGAGGATGTGCAGCAGGGGCGCTTGGGTGGCTCAGATGGTTAAGCATCTGCCTTCATTTCTGGGTCCTGGGTCCCCAGCTCAGTAGGGAGTCTGCTTCTCCCTCTCCCTCTGCTCCTGCTTGTGCTCTCTCTCTCTCTAATGAATAAATAAAAAATCTTTTAAAAGAGAGAGGATGTGCAGGAAGAAGGATATATTTGGGCAGGAGGAGAAGAAAATTACGTCCGTTTTGGATGGTGTGGAATTTAAGGCACATCCAAGTAAAGTTACCCACAGTGCAGGTGGGCATGTACCTGTGGCTCCCAGAGGAGTGATTTGGCCTGGAGGTCAAGTCACCTGTATACAGATTCTAGCGGAAACCATGTGATTAGGTGAGAGTTCCCAGGAAGAAGGGGTGTAAAGCAAGAAGCAGCCTTTAAGGATCCAGGAAAGAAGAAGGGCCCTGCCCAGGAGCCTAAGAAGTAGGAGGAAGATGTGCTGGAGCTCAGGGAAGGGAGCTTGAATGAGGAGGAGGTGCCAGTGCCTCTAGAGAACAGGGCACAAGTGGAGAGGACTCGGAGAGTGCAAGTATGCTTCATTCTCAAGAGGGAGCTGTAGCACAAAGGGAAGGAGCGAAAGCTGGGCCACAGAAGGCAGAGCGAGATAAATGTTTCTATAGTTGGCCGAGCCAGTAGCAAAGGAGGTTAACAGTCAAGGTGAGAGAGGATAATTCACAGAAAGAGATTTCTGAGGTGGTGAGAGATCATGAAATAGCAAGCAAAGGACATGTGGAAGGATTATCCAGGAAAGGAGGATGGATAATTTCTTCTGAAATAAGAGGGAAGAAGGGAACAGTGGAGTTAGGTGTAGAGAGAAATGCCAGAGACTGTGCTCAACACGTACACACAGTCTTGTCCTAATCTTCTCAACAACCCTGCCAAACGAGGTATTTTGTATCTCCGTTTTCCTACATAAGAGAGTTAATTGATAGTCAGCACAGTAAGTAAATGGTAAGAGGGTAATCCAAGAATGAAATCTTGCCATTTGCAACGACGTGGATGGAACTAGAGGGTATTATGCTAAGCGAAGTAAGTCAGAGAAAGACAAATACCATATGATTTCACTCATATGTGGAATTTAAGAAACAAGAACATGGGGGAAGGGAAGGAAAACTAAAAATAAGACAAAAACAGAGGAGACAAACCATAAGAGACTCTTAACTCTAGGAAACAAACAGGGTTGCTGGAGGGGAGGTGGGGGGGATGGGGTAAATGGATGATGGGCATTAAGGAGGGCACATGATGGAATGAGCACTGGGTGTTATATGCAACTGATGAATCACTGACCTCTACCCCTGAAACTAATAATACACTATATGTTAATTTAAAAAAAAAAAGTGAGGGTAATCCAAAGTGTTAGGATTTAGGAAGGTTATGTGTCCACCACAGGGCTTGGCCCAAAGAGGGAGGTACAGGAGTGTTAGCTCCCTCTTTTGTGGATTGCTTCTGTTCTTTAAAAAGGAAAAGGGAAAAAAATGCCAAGAAGGTCGCCCAAGATGTCATTTCGCAAGCAGTTTCTTGTTCAGCCCCTTCGCATAGCTGACTGAACTCTGCTGGTAGCCTTCTCTGCCCCTGCGTCCACTGGCCCCGTCAGCACAGTTACCTTTATCTTCACGGTGTTTCCAGTGCTTGCTTGCATCTTTTCCTTCATCAGGCCAAAGAATGCTTCCTTTTGAAGCCTCCTCCTCCTGGTTCTGAGGACAGTTCATTAGTTGCCCGGTTTCGGGTACAAACATACAGAATCCAGAGCAGGGCATTCCCAGTGCTCCCTCAGGCGGCCTCATAGTGTCAGGTGGACAGGAGTTGGCCATAGCCTTGCGTCCAATTCCCTAATATTTTAAACAGATCTTGGAAAGATTTGTAGATTTTCAAGATGATAACAATTTACAAGGCACATAAATGATACCAAAAACGTTGCTCTGCTTTTCTTGACTCTACACAGCCAATAGTTTCTGAAGATCAGACAGCAGCCCTGATGGCCCATCTCTTCGAAATGGGATTCTGTGACCGGCAGCTGAATCTCAGGCTGCTGAAGAAACACAATTACAACATCCTGCAGGTTGTGACAGAGTTGCTACAGGTCAACAACAACGACTGGCACAGCCAACGCTACTGAGGAGGGGCCTCGTATTAAATCACTCTGCCTGCTTCTCATGGGTGATCTTTATCCTGTCCTTGGGCGTAGGGGAGGAAGCCCTGGCTTATTTTTTAATCTGATGAATCTATATAGAGCCCATTATTGAATTCTCAAGACAGGACCTGCATTACAGTATTTTTTGGAGCAAATCAAAGACCAGAACTGAAGCAGAGACATCGGATGGTTGAATTGTAGGAAAATGGTTTTTCAGTTGATTTGGATAAAGCTCCTGTCTCCATTTTAGTGCATTGAAGAGCATAACTTGAACTTCCTATAGAACCGTTTTTCTTTCTGCTTGTATCAAAGTTGAGTATTTTTCTTTGGATGTTGTGGATGTTTCTATGGGGATACCTGTTGTCAGTTTTTAAAAGAAATTAACCTTGGAGGTTGTTTTCAAGAATTCTTACAATTTTTCTAGCCTACCCCAAGCCTCATGGCTATGTTGTATTGAAATGACACCCAGAGCCCCAGAGAAATCTTGTTACTCTTCCTTGTTCAAAGACAAAGTCATTTCCCTGCGAGACTTAGTAATCAGCACTGTTGTTTTCTAAAGACCCCACTGGTACATTCAAGAAGATCACCTTCTGGGTCTCCACACTTCAGTGAAAGGAGGGCGTGTGCTCATTAACCCACCAGCACCTATTGAGCAGTGTTTACTGTAGTAATTTTGCATACATTTTTCTTTATTTAAGGGAACAAATTTAAGTAGATAGTGTGAAATATTTTGCTAATACTGTAGAGATGGAGAAAACGTCTATTAAAAAGAAAAGAAATGTAACAGTTACCTTTTTTTCTTAACATCAGGGCAGAGGTTACTGGCAGATGTTAAGAGTCGAAAGGTGAAAAGTGAAAGGCAGGCTCCTAGTTAATCTAGTAAAGTTAGTTCAGGGGCGGGCAAATAGGAAATGCTGATGCCTTCTTGAATGTTTGAAATCTGCTCAAAGGTACCTAGCCTTAGAGAGCCTAGAACAGGAAGAGGCTGTTTTGCAAAACTTGGATGGGGACAAACTCTGAAAAAGTTTTGAGTTAACCCCAAAATGAATGAGAAAGCTTGCTGCCAGGGGCCCAGGTCCTCATTCTGTTTACAGAAAGGAGTCTTGGGTACAATGGGTGAAGGAAAAGGTAACAAAAAAAACACTAAAAGCTATTATTCATGAAAATGACTTCCAGAAAAAGAAGACTTTTGCCCTCATCCAGAAGGGGGAAGGATAGTAAACTAGTATTATTTAACCTGGTTGGTATTTATAATGAATGGTGATGTTAATTAATCATTAGTCGTCATCATGTTTATTTACAGTATACTTCCTGACCGCTATTAAATAAACCAAGATTCAGACTGCAAGCCAACCAGGCTGTTCATTATTTAAAACGTTTTTATCCGGGCTTTTGGGTAGAGGCTGAGCGGCAGGGTGTGTGTAATTAATTGGGTTGATTTCGGGCGGGACCTGTTCTGACCTCCTGAGTCGTATTGTAGGGGTCCACAGAGGACCCCGAGGTCCAGTCGTCCGTCCGGTTGTACTTGTACATAACCGCTTCAAGAATGGTGAAATAAAAGTTCTTTGAAAGTCCTACCAGGACTGGCTGGTGCTTGCAAAAGCAGCGTCCGGGCCCCGGGGTGGTCTTTGAAGAGTTGAGCTCTTCCCTCGCCGCTGTGTCGAGAGGGGGCGGGCCCCTGGGAGGGGGGCGGGTCCGGAGGAGCTGGGGCGGAGCCTCCGTAGTCACCGAGTCAAAGCTTGGGGCGAGCCCCTGGGTTCCCGCACTTTCGATTCTGCTTGCAGCCGGTTCTGTCCTGCTGTCGCTCGGGGGTGGGGTAAGGTGCATCCCAGATTTTACTTTATTTCCCTTTGGGAGGCAAGGGTCGAGGGACCTTCAGTGCCTCCTAGCCTCACGCAGGCCCTCGCGGGTTAACAGACTCGACTAACGGCCTCGGGGTGTCTGGAGGGACTTGAAATTCTCCTTCAGTGAAATCCCAGCTTCTGCGGCTGCTCGGGCTGCCCCGCTCCTCGGGCCCCTAGCCGAGCCTGGGAGTAAAGGCTGGAAGCAGCTTAGCCCTTCAGGGAGGCCGAGGTCGCTGCTCCCCACCCTCTCTGACGCTGCATATTCGCTCCCCCAGGACTCTGCTGAAGGGGGCCAGTAGCCTGGCCAGCCCCAGCCGGTGGCCCCCCGGGTCACCCTGCCCTACAGGCCCTTCTCCCCAAAAACACATTCCAGAAACCGCACTCTTAGCTGACAGGAGCCCTGGATCCGAGACCTCAACCAGGTGAGGCTCTCTTGATTTTGGCCCAGTGAGGTCTGAGTGCGGTTCACCTTGCCCACTCATTCTGCTCCCAATCCTGAGCCTTTGGGGAAGAATCTGGATTTTTAGCCTTTACCATTCCTTAGTGAAGGATGGACCCTGACCATTGCTCCCACCCTTCCACAGGCATTCTTGCCTACCACACAGAAAGCAGTGAGGAAAAGGTTTCTGCTCCCTTTCAGGGCTATTTTAAGGTTCTTAGGCACACCTGTGACCAGCCTAGCTGCCTTTCCCTTGTTTCAACGAATCCCTGCCTTCCTATTAGGCCAGCACTTGAGAGGGCTCAGGCATGGAAACTTTCCTTCCACTCCCAGGCTGGGAGATCGCAGGCATTTCCGCCTGGGTGTTCTAGACACCTCTTCAGAGTCATCTTGTTGCAGAGGGTGAAGGGACTCTGGCCTGCGGCCTCCCCCACCGCCCGCCAGCCCCGTCCACTTCCTTCCCTTGAAGCAAGTGACAGCTCAGCAACTTTCCCAGAAAAGAAAGTGCTCGGCCATTCACTTCTGGGGGTCCCTTCTAGGGAAATAACTTCTGCATTTCTCTTCTCTTCCCACTTGTAGGCAGATTGAGCTCCCCTGCAGTAATGAAAGGAAACGCACTGAGATTTCTGATCCCAGAGTCCCGTGTAACTGCTCAGTTTTCTGTATCCTAGCTTCCTTGGGCTGGAGCTTGCTGAAATTGGGGTGGCGCTCCTTGCGAATCTTGAGAACCCAAAACCAGAGTGACATCCGGTGTCCGTGCTAACAAGCTTAGCCCTGAATTCTGGTTTTTCCTCATTAGCGAAAACTCCCCCTGAATGATGGGTGAGACGTTCTCCCAGTCGGGCTCTCAGGAGGAGGAGAACAAGTCAATCCTGCCCCCCAGCCTGGCATTTGGCAGCAAGGCTGCCTGCTACTCCAGCACCCGAAGCAGCAAGTCTTTTTGTTCCCGCGAGCCTTGTGATGGGGCTGCCAGCACCAGCTTTGTGACTTGTCCCACCTGCCAGGGCAGCGGGGAGATCCCGCAAGGTGAGTGGCCCAAGGCTTTGGCAAGAGCCTGGAATCCAGAACAAGCCCTTAGCAGCCAGCTGGTCAGGCCCCTCTGAGCCTCCTGGAATGGGGTTGGGTCTCCCAGCTCTTGGTTCCCCAGCTGCAGGCGGGCCAACGAGATGTTCACTTGCCCTGCGCTCGCTGCAGAGACACCCCCACCCCTCCTGCCCTGGTCGTTCTCCCCAGCCCGGGGGGTCTCCAGCCTCCCTGCTCCCTTAGCAACGCTGTGCCTTAGGATTCAGGAAGTTACAAATGACCTCTCCAGAGAAGCTAGACTTCTCTCATTTACTGGTGCTTTCCAGAAATTCACACCCGTTAATGAAAATCTCACTTCCGTTGCAGAGCTGACATAGTTGAGCTGCTGTCATCTGCCCAGCGTTCCCAGTCCTGCTCTGGGGCAGAGGTGGCATGCTTCTGACTCGACTCTGGGGCGGAGGGGTGCTTCTGGGAGGCTGGCGCAGGAAACCTTCGCCATGCATACTTGTTAGCCCTCTCTCTTACCTTCTTTCTCTCTACAGAGCTAGAGAAGCAGCTAGTGGCCCTCATCCCCTATGGGGACCAGAGGCTGAAGCCCAGGCGCACGTAAGTCCACAAGCCATCACCTCTGGGGGCTGTTCTCTTTGTCTCCCCCATTCTGCCTCCAACCCCCTGCAATTCTTCTCCGTTGGAAGCCTTGCTGAATTCATATATACTAGCTCCATTTCCAGAGTTTTTCCTGGTTTAAGAAGTCTGGGGCACAGCAGATGCCACCTGAGGGCACTCGGTGTCCTAAGCTTCGCTACTTCCAAGAAGCATGGCTCCCTTGTGGAAACAGGATCTCTTGACTCTGCAAGGCCTTTCTGGAGGGAGGGAGTGGCCCTGGGTGCGGTCAGTTTGGGGAAGGTATTTTTCCTGCGAGCTTCCCTCTCTGTGGCACCTCAGACCTGCTTGTTCTCTTCCCGGTTGAGGTGGAAAACTAGCTGCTCCCTCTTCTGAGATACTTCAGAGCCTCAGAGGCAGCCCCGAGTTTCCCGGGACGGGGTCGTGACCCTGTTTGTCATCTGGGTCTCTTGGACGTGAATCCCTGCCACCTCCTCCCAAGGTGCTCAGCTGCAGTCTGCGAGCCACCAGCCTGCCCTCCCGGACCCCTGCACCAGAATCTGAGGCTGCCTGTGCCCCTCATAAATACTAACGAGGTGCTGTCTCTTTCATGCCTAGCTCAGTTTTGAGTTAGAGGGACGGATGATGTCCTGTTCTGAATATTAATTTTAAAATTCAGAACTCTCAAATTCATGTGGACATTTCTTCCAGCGATGATAGCTAGCCTTCGTTGAGCTTTGGTTATGTGCCAGGAGCTGGCATCCGTGCCTTTTCATGCGTTAGCCCATAACGAATTCTGTGATGTAGGTATAGTTCTCTCCGTTTACAGACAAAGAAACTGAGGCCTAGGGAGCTTAAGTAGGTTGCTTAGAGCTACTGGGCCAGTGGGTACAGAGAGCTGGGAATGGAAGCCAGGCTGCCTGCCTCCCGATCCTGTGCTCCAACTCACTTTGGGCCACATCTGTACCTGGGCCAGTCCCCCACATCTGGGGAGGTAAAAGCACAGTTGGGAGGGGGCTGGTGCAGGGGAGAGCCTTGTACAGGGAGAGGAGTGTCCCTCTCTGCCCAAGGTTCCGTCGTGTTCGGACTTCTCCCCTCCTCTACCCCGGGTCCTGCTTTCTTTCCCACAGGAAGCTCTTCGTGTTCCTGGCAGTGTTCATCTGCCTTGTGACCTCCTCCCTCATCGTCTTTTTCCTGTTTCCCCGGTCCATCGCCGTGCAGCCCGCGGGCCTCAACTCCTCCACGGTGGCCTTTGACGAGGCTGACATCCACCTCAACATAACGGTGGGTGGGTGCCCACACCCTTGAGCCCCACACCGCCTTGCCGGCAGCTCTTCTCTGTAGCCCTTGTCCAGTGTTGCCATCCCGGGCTCGGGTAGCCAGGGGTACTATGGCAGGCCAGAGGGTGTCAAAGCCTGGGGAGAAGCAGGCACAACCGTGAACCCCACAGCAGATTGTTCAGGATTAGGACTGTACGCAGCGAGGGGTCAGAATCTGGGCGAGAGAAATAAAACACAGGGCGTGGTTGGGGGGCATGCCTGAGACTCCCTGGGTGGGCGGAACTGAACAGAGAGAAGCCTCGCAGAATGAGCCTGGGTCCTGGGCCAGCTTCATGTCTTACGGTGACCCCTTTGCCATTAAGAGCCCCTCCAAGGGGCTCCTGGCGCTGGGCTTCGGCAGCTGAGGCCCATAGTGGGAGTGGGGATCAGTCAGGCAGGGGGCGGGAGGGGGGTTTGGGAAGCTATTGGACTTCTCCTTTTCAAGGATGGTCATCTGCCCACTTCCCTTTCCCTTGTCTTCGTCCTTAGAATATCTTAAACATCTCCAATAGCAATTACTACCCCATCACTGTGACCCAGCTGACCATCGAGGTTCTGCACCTGTCCCTCGTGGTGGGGCAGGTCACCAACAGCCTCCTCTTTCACATCGGCCCTTTGGCCAGCGAACAGGTGACTCCCTCTCCCTGGCCAGCCCTGCCCACAGAGGTGTGGACATGTGTGGGGGTCGGAAGGGGCAGCTGGGGTTGGGGCTCACCGTGTGCCCATTTGGTTGACAGATGTTTTATGCAGTGGCCAACAAAATCTGGGATGAAAATACCTAGTAAGTATCCCTTGATCTCTTCTCCCTTAGCCTCTTTCCCTGGTTGGAAACCCAGTGTTCATCCCTACCAGATTTCCTGGCTGCTCAGCAAACACTACAGCCCCAGCATTTGGCCTTCATTCTCGTGGCCAAGACTGCAATCTGCAAGGGATTCAGGGTCCCCAGCCCTCTGCCTGTTTGGACTTAGGTTGGAATGAAAAAAGGCCAGAATTGGGTTAATTCTTACACTCTGTGACCTTGGGCTCTTCAGCCTGAGTCGCTGAGAAAGATGAATGTCTTGTTTTCTGTTGAGGGAGGGGCTAGCACACACCTGGGCCAAGCCTGTGGGGCTTGGAGGAACAATATTGCAGCAAGGGTGACATGCTCACCTTAGAGGGAGAGAGAAAGAGTAGGAGTGGCATTTGGTGTCCCTGATGGAAAAGAGCCCAGAAGCCTGGGACCTGCAGGTCTCCTCCCAGTTGCCATGCTGCTCAGTGTGAAACATGGTCCCGTGTTCTTTCTCTCTCAGCAAAATCTGTTCCTGGATGAAAATCAAAGTCCACCATGTGCTTTTGCACATCCAGTAAGTAGGGCTTGGAGCCCGGGTGCCCCCCCTCGCCCACTTCTGACCTGGGGCTCTCCTCTGCTCCACCTTGTGGGAGGAATCATCCAAAGCTAACTCCGTAGATCTTTGTTGGCTCTTGGGAAAGCAGGTCCGGCCCCTTCCCTAGATCCTGCCTTGCTTATGAGCCATCGGTGGGACAGCCACAGACAGAGCTGTCTGGATCACAGGTGGGACAGCTGTCCCAGGTGCATTGGCAGAGTAGGGAGCAGAAGGAAGAGCGTGCAGTGTTTAAGGGAGCCCCCCCTCCCCAGACAGCAGAGCAGGGCCAAAGCTTTCCTCTTTGCCCCCAGAGACAGCAACAAAGCCTGCTTCCTCTCCAGGGGCACCCTGACCTGTTCCTGCCTGAGCCATTCAGAGCAGCTAGTCTTCCAGAGCTATGAATACGTGGACTGCCGGGGAAACACATCGGTGCCCCACTTGCTGGTCCCTCACCCGCCGTGACCTGTCTGCTGTTCCCGAACCCCAGGCCCCCGCCAGGTTGGGCTCTGTCTCCCTGAGCCCAAGGAAGGACTACAGTGACTTTGCCAAAGGAAAAGCCCTGCTTTATTCTACCTCCTCCCCACCACACACACACCCTCAGCACAGGAAGCCCTATGTGAAAGTTAACTTTACACACACACATGCACGCACGCACACCTCTCACGTCCTCTGACTTCCACAGGAAAAGAAGTCTGGTTCTTCTAGGGCCCAGCGCCAGGCTTTCCCCTCGGTCTGTCCTGAGGAGAGTCTGATCTGATGTGTATTCAGAGCTGCCTTAGAGTCCCTGGAGTGGCATCTGCTTTCTGTACTGAGCACCGTGGTTGCCTAGCCCCTCTGGGGCTGGCCTTCCTCCCGCCTGAAGAGAGAAATCTTTCCTTTTATCTGGCTTTTAAAACCTGGATCTTTTTCACGTTCTCCACCCAGTGGTGGGAAAGTGACTTGAGGGACATCCATGCTGTCTCGTGCCTTCCTGCTTGGTCATGTGACAGAGTGGTGGCGCTGGTCGGCTTCTCTCCTGGTAACTTGGGCCCTGACAGCGAGGTTGGCTAAGGCCCTTTGGCTCGGCAGCCTCCCTGGTTAAAGACTGTCCCAGTTCCTAGGAAGACAGAGCTGTTCTCTGGCTAAAGCTTCTCTCCATAAAGATCGTTTTCTTATTCTCATCACAGCAGGAGTGAATGTAGTAGCGGGGGAGAGAGGCATCTGGCACCCCCTCCGCCTCTCCAGGAAAAACAGAGATGAAGCCAGAGTCAATAGTTAGGCTTCTGGCTGGTGGTCGGCCCACAATGCTGAGCCCGTGTGAGTGGACACAGGTCGGTCAGACGGCGGTGTCAGCTGCCGCCCGGTGACGGCCTACAGAGGTGAAGCTGTCAGGATTCGGCCAAGCTGCTGGCGCTCCAGCATCCCCAGCATAGCTCCAGGGCCCATCCTCTGCTCCCAGAGGCCTCTGCTTTCCTTCGGGCGTGCACAGGCTGGAACCGCACATCAGTAGGGACCGGTCTCGACCTCTCCTCTTTGCTGTCACTCAGATGCAGAAGCGAAGTCCTAGATAATGCAGGTTCCCACTGGGCTCCAGATGGAGGCGGTCTGTGGTGTCGCTGAGCAGGAATGGTAATTGCTCACTAAAGGGAGCTGTGGTTTTTCTCAGGCCGGGAGGTGAACTTAGGTGGTGGGGCAAGCTGAATGCGAAGTTGGATGGATGGAGAGAGGGCAGTGGGGACAGCACCTGGCTAGCTGGCTGGGGGGACAAGGGGAAAGAAGGAGGTTGTCCTGTCTCTGTGCTTTCGGGCCTGAGTAATTGGAGTCAAGAAGATACTAGCAGGAGCACAGAAGTCCAGAAAGGCCAGGCTGGAGTTTCCGCTGTGTGTTGGTTGCCAAATGTCAAGGATTCATATCGTCTTCAATAAACTATACTTCACAATGTTAAAGAGTAAACAAAGAGTCTCCTGTGAGTTGGGAGGAGAGCTGGACGACACTCCCGGCCTGTTTCTGGTGGCCGAGTGGGTGCCAAGCTCTCTTCCCCAGGCGCAGAGCCCCTCTGCTCTTCTGGTTGCTGAGAGAGCGCTCCTGGGAGCTCACTCTCTCCCTTCCTCCCACTGTGTGTCTCTCAAGTTCCCTCCCTACTTTAATATTCCTGTTCTGGGCCCCACCCCAGGTCCCCCGGCTACCCCCCTCAGGAAACAGTGCCCTGAGGGGTCCCTTCAGCCTGTGGGCTTCCGTGAAAGGCCCAGGCATCCCCTCACTGGCGCCAGGTGGAAAAGGGGACAGGCTGTGGGAGGGACCCCGGGTGTCAGCTTCAGGAAGTGGGGAGGGGGTGAAGCCTGACTCCGGGAAAGGCTGAGGTGGGGGAAGGAAGAGGCCTGTGGGGTTCTGTGGGCCAGTACCCCTCCCCTTCCCAAGATCAGGTGTCCTGTACTTGAGACTACAGCCCCCCTTTCCTCTGAGCTCTTTCCACCCCTGCCTCCCATCATCCATGCCACAGCTCAGCGCCCACTATGGGCCAGGCATTACACTGGACCTGGGGGGGCCCCCGCCTGCCACCTCTAATGCTGCTCCAGGCCTGTTCCGGTGTGGTGCGACCCCTCCTTCCCCAGTTGTGTCTCAGTAAGCACCGGCCAGTGGGGAGGGGTGATGGCTCCAGTGAGAGTCCTCAACCTAGAGCCCCCAACAGGGGTGTCTGGGGGGCTCAGTCGGTTAAGCATCCACCTTGATTCTTTTTTTTTTATTTGACAGAGACATAGCGAGAGAGGGAACACAAGCAGGGGGAGTGAGAGGGAGAAGCAGGCTTCCCGTGGAGCAGGGAGCCCGATGTGGGGCTTGATCCCAGGATGCTGGGATCATGACCTGAGCCGAAGGCAGATGCTTAAAGAATGAGCCACCCAGGCGCCCCCCACCTTGACTCTTGATTTTGGCTCGGGTCATGATGTCAGGGTTGCAGGATGGAGCCCTATGTCCGGCCCTGTGCTCAGCAAGAAGTCTGCTTGTCCCTCTCCCTCTGCTCCTCCCCTCACTTGCTCAAGCACACACATGGGCTTGTGTGCTCTCTCTCAAATAAATAAAATCTTTGAAGCCCCCAACAGACCTATCCTTGCTAAATAAGGGCCAGCAATGGAGCTGTATAGACTTGGGAAGGCCAAGACCAAGTTCTCCCATTGGCTTTGCCTCCAGAAGCATGGACTCAGCCTACTTTCTTCTCCCACCCACTCCATCCCCTTCATGGGTCCTCATTCCCCTTTCCCTTCATCCCAGTCTCACAGAGCTGACCAGTCTCTTGATTCTTTTTAGGAGGAAATCACATTTTATTCCCGGCTAGCTCCTCTTCTAGAGTGGATCAGGAGGGGGTGACTTGGAGTGGAGATGCTGGGGATGAGAAAGAAGTCATCTGTTTTTTTGCTGATGGCCATTGGGGTTGAGGGTCTCTCTCTGGGTCACCACTGCTGTGTGTAATTCATTGACTGAGAAGAGGGAGAGACAGGAGGCAAACTGGGTTAGTTAGCCATTTCTGGGCCTGCTGTTCCAGGACGTTGTATCAAGCCCTTTGAGGCCAGAGAAATAAAAGTAAAATGGATCGGCCCAGTCCTCATCCTAACAGGGCTGGCATCAGGCTCTCTCATCCTTTGTACCTGAGCCAGAGAAACCTCCTTTCCAAAGCTTGTACTGTGTTACGTCCTTCTCATCAAGAGTGACCACCCTGGGTTTGAAGGCCTGGATTGAGCCAGGTCCTAAGCTAAGGGCTTGTGACGCCTTCTCTTTCAATGGCCACATTCAGTGGTCCGACACCTCTGTTAAGGAGGTGGTATTAGCACTCTCATCTAATGGATGGGGCAGATGAGGCTCAGAGATGCAGTCACGCTGCTGGGGATTGGCGATCCCGAGACTCACAGCCTGTGACTTCATGTCTTGCCCTCCTCCGGCTCCAGCTGCCTCCGCCCCAATCAGCACTTAAAACAGCCCCTCTGGGGGCGCCTGGGTGGCTCAGTTGGTTAAGCGACTGCCTTCGGCTCAGGTCATGATCCTGGAGTCCCTGGATCGAGTCCCGCATCGGGCTCCCTGCTCAGCAGGGAGTCGGCTTCTCCCTCTGACCCTCCCCCCTCTCATGTGCTCTCTCTCTCCTCTCATCCTCTCTCTCAAATAAATAAATAAAATCTTTAAAAAAAAAAAAAAACAGCCCCTCTGTTTTGCTTCTCTGGCACCTGGCCCGTCTTTTTGAATAGACTGTCAACCCCTCCGTTTCTGCTGAGTGCCAAGCAACAGGCCACAAATGGGCCATTCAGCAGTGACTATATAATTGCATATAAAGGCTTTATGTAATTGACTTTATAAAATATAAATAATTGCAGCCCCTCCCTCCAAGGAAGCCTCTCTAGATTCCACACACAAACACACACACACACACACACACACACGCAGCCAGAGTCGACCTGCCTTTCACACTGTCTCACCGTGAATCGTGAGTGCTCGGTGTATTTATCTGGATTTGACTGGAATGAGTTCCTGAAACCTGATGGTGAAACAAGCATACATTATTCATCTGACAGTTTCTGAAAATGGAACACGGCAGAGCTGGACTCTCTACTATGTGTCTGGGGGGCAGGCGGCAGCCCCTATCTAGGGCAAGGCACAGACAGAGTCCACCCGGAAAACTCATACCCGGGAAGCTGCACCGTGATTCCTGTTCCAGACTTCCCAGGGCTCAGCTCGTCTCTTGTTAAGCCCACCCTCACTCCCTCTGACACCCTCGTCCTGGAGGAGGGGCTGCCACCCTCTGCAAAAGTCAGCAGCCTCCTTTGCACCCCCAGAGTGATGCAAACGTCCCCGGGGGGTGTGTGGCCCCCAAGTAAAGGCCAAGGATGCCTGGGAGAGTACAAGACAATGGGAGGACGGAGGTGCATTCTGGACTATAGGGCTGGGGGTGGGAGCAGGGAGCTCTCTCCTCACCACCTGCCCTCCCAGGCATCTCACTTACTAGGGCCTTGAGGGGGTTTTGTTTCTCCTGGGAATCCGTTAAAGTCGGATTGCCCTCCAGTTTGATGGATCCCTACTGAACCAAGCTGGGGACCTGGCTTTTGGGAATCCTGCAGAATGTGCACAGACGTGCACTGAGTCAGAGGGTCGTGGGCGTTCTGTTGCCTGGACTGAGGCGGCGGCGCAGGTGGGGTCTCTGACTGCTCCGGGAGCTGCGGTCGGGGAGGCTGCGGTGGGGCGGGGGGCACCTGCGGCTCTGGTGACGCTCCTGGTGGCCTCGGCGGCAGTGACAACTGCTGCTCCTGTTGAGACCCCCGAGGGGGCTGGGGTCTTTTCTCGGATTGGCCTTCCTCCTCTTGGAGTTTCTTCAGTTCCTGGCAAGAAGCCCCCCACAAGTGGCATCCTCCTCCCTCCCCACCCCATCGCCCATCTGCTGGGGACACTGCGGGGAGCAAGGCAAGCCATCAGTGGAGAGGCAGAGGTGGCCGGAAGGTCTTTGCTCCCTAGACATGGACGCTGGGCTCCCTTCACCCACTGCAACACCCGAGAACTGTGTCTTTGGTGACAGTGCCCCCCTGGCACAGCCCCGGCCCAGCAAACAGCAGTCTCCGGGCACCTGCCTCCTACTTTGGGAGCTGTGCACTGAAAACAGTTTGCAGTGGGGGAAGAATAAAGAATACTTTCTTGCAAACCCTGGGAGACAGCACTGTCCAATAGAAATATAATGCATGCAACCAGTAATTTTAAAATCTTCTAGTAGCCACATAAAAAAGCAAGAAGGAAACAGGTGAAACTGGGGCGCCTGGGTGGCTCAGTCGTTAAGCGTCTGCCTTCGGCTCAGGTCATGATCCCAGGGTCCTGGGATCGAGCCCCGCATCGGGCTC